GGGTAGTCTAGTGAGGCAAGGAGACTTACACCTCCACTGGCACGTTCACCTACAATATTGTCTTTTTCTAAAAATTGCGAACCTTCGAAGTTTAGTTTGCTTTCCTGGTTTCAGTAGAGTTTCCTGTAATGCCAAAACCACAGGATGATGCAAATTGATCAAGTCTTTGATGTTATCAAGATGTTGATGGAAACCGCGACAATTCCAAGAAACAAGGGTGGCCATTATTCATTATTTTTGGTCTTTCCTATGCTGCGTTTTGGTTTTACGTGGAAGTAGTTTCCTCGGAATGTTTAAGCCCTCTTCTACCTCCATCTCTGAGTCAAGATGCTCTAGTCTGACACTTATTTTTCTATCAGGCTTTGATGTTTTCAGTATTTCTTTGCTTCTCATAAGGTTTTCTTTCACTTTATTATATTTTATTGTTATTATTGAATGCTTCAGTTTTGCTGGTGTATTTTGTTGAGGATTTTGGACTGGTTGTTTATTTGGTGTGTGGATTGTCTGGGTGCCTATGGATTTGACCGATTTTACTGCGCTTGCATATAATATTTTTCGAGACTGAGAATCTGCTACTAGTTTTCTCGCTTCTGCATAAGGAATATTTCTAGTTATTTTCATATTTTGCACCTCCATCGCAGACTGCCATTTTGGGCAAAGTCGAGAGAATGCCGTGTGCTCCCCTTTGCAATTTGCACATAGTGGGCCGGCACTACAATTTTTACTGTCATGGCCTTCCACAGAGCAACGTGCACATGTGAGTTTGCCATGACAGGACATTTTTGAGTGGCCAAATCGCTGGCATTGAAAACATCGTAAGGGGTTAGGTATGTAAGGTCTTACGGGGCAGTGCAAATACCCGGCCTTAATACTTTTCGGCAGATCAGGTGAATTGAAAATCAGGATTATATGTTTCGTATTGACCAGCTGACCTTCTTTGCGCATCTTGATCCACCTTGCAGCACTGACATTCTGATTGGACAGTTCTGACACAATTTCTTCTTCTGAGACAAAGATGAGGTCAGTCTCAGATATAATGCCCCAGCTGTAATTCAAGGATTTGTGTTTTGTCACATTAACTTCGACTTGCCCAAGTTTTTCAAGTTTGAGGAGGGTAGCAGATTGAGCTGGGGAAACTGTTTCTATAAGAGGGTCTCCTGAGCGCAGTCGTTTTATTGTCTTTGGCTCACCAATAGTCGCTTATATATGTTTTTGTATCAGGAATGGTGACATTTTTAGAAGTTCGCCTTTTGAGTTAGTTATTACAAGGAATTTAGGTAGAGTTTCTTTAGAATTTGCATTCACATTCGTTTTTACTTTTTTTGATGGAAGACAAGTTTCGTATTTTTCATTTGAAGAGGCCATATTGAAGATCAAGTATGATTCGGACCCAGCAGCCCCACCCACCACAGAGCCCAACAAGGGGATGCAGATTCCTGCGCCAGGGCTAACCAGGTCTATACACAAACTGAAGCCCCACAGTTGGCTCTCCCGAAAACAGGTACACCCGAGAGCTTATCCCCAAGCCACTGACACAAGGACTAGTGACCAGCCGATTGACACCCGTGAGGACGACTAAGGTGCCTCCCGTTTAGCTGAAGCAGAGGCCAAAGCAGTGTGTTGGGGACAGTACCTCGCCCCTCAACTACCAGGACCCTCCTTTCGAGCGACACGGGTCTCCACGCACAGCAAGAACGTGGGCAGTTTTCTTGCCACTCGAAAACTAGAGACAAGGGCAACTCCAGTTTCTCATGACGAGCCCCAAACTCCGAAGAGAGAAACCAAAAGGTAGAAGGGAAGGGAAAAAGTTCCAGCCAAGAGGAGAGGAGATGGAAAAGAAGATAGATCACTGGGGCTCCAGGATCGTGACACCCGTCTCACCAAGAAGATGATTCCCTGAAGGGCTAGGGTACCTCAAGATTGCCACACCTGTACTCACAAAAGTGAGCCCCCTGAGGGGATAATCCTGTGGGAGTTCCGTCCTGTTTCTTGGGGCAAGTATTGTTGTGGTGATTTTTTCCACATTTACAGCATCTTATTTTGTTAGTACACAGGTGTTGGAAGTGCCCCCACTCCTGACATCGAAAACACTGCGTTGGTCGCTTCTTGGGGCTGTATTTTTCAATCTTTATGTTCACATTGAACATATAGTTCAGCTGATGTATTGCATGGCCTTCGTCATTTCTTTTTAGTTCAACAAGCCATATTGGCAATTTTTCCGAATTATATTTTTTGCTCCAGCAGAACTGTTTGACCTTAAGGATTGGAAACTTTCTTCTTGCGAGATCGTCGTAGATTACTTCTTCAGTAACTTTAGCCGGGAGATTTTTCAAGATGACCTTGAGTGGTTTTTCATTTTCAGTTAAATAAGTATGAAAAGGTATTTCACTGAATTTAAGGAATTTCATTGCATTTTGATAATCCTCCATCTTTTTAGTGTTTACGTAAATTAATTTCACCTTCATACTGGCTTCAATGTCCTCTGTACATATTTTCTCTTAAATCACGTTCAACTATCAGCCAGTCTACCAGCTCTTGTTTGAAGACAATGACCTCATCATTTTTAGTAACATCCGGTTCAGACGATAGCTTTACCTTCTTTTTCTTGCTTTTACTTCTAGGCGATTTCACAAAATCCTCTCTCCGAAGTGGGAATTGCATGGATTTACTTGACATCATAGACCGGTCCAATTCCATATCATCATCCGTAGATTCTTCATGTGTTCTAAAGAAGGACATTTTGTTGTACTCAGGGGTACCTGCAATAGCTCAGAAATACGCAGTAAAACCTAATCAAAAACTTAACTGTCCACCTACCGGACTGGACAGTTCACAGTGAGAAAAATCAGGAGAGCTCAGCAGAGTGTCCTACACGCTCGGCAGCCACAGCTTGAAAATGTATTTTATTATATTTAATTTATTTTTCTTTCTCTTAATATGATGGAAAAGAGTTCTGCATGTCTATCATAGACCAGTTCACAAGATGGCCAAAATTATTCCAACAACCGACATGACTACAACATGTCGCTTGTGCAGCTGCTTGTGCCTTAATACATGCCTGGATATCCAGATTTGGATGCCCAGTCACACTTATATCTGACCAGGGTAAAAATTTTGAATCTAATCTTTTAGAGAACTTATTCATACACTTGGGTGAAACATAATTCAAACCTCTACATATCACCCTCAGTCTAATGGAATTATCGAATGCTTCCATCAGCATCTTTAAACAGCCCTTAAAGCTCATGATACAGCCCAATGGACAAAAACTCTCGCACTTGCTCTCTTAGGCATACATTCAGCCATTAAGGAGGATGTCAAAGCAACTTCTCCTTAACTTGATTATGACACAACATTAAGATTACCTCCCAATCTAGTAAACAATGATGCCATAAACTAAACCTTACATTCACACAAGTACATAATTTACTTCAAACAATGAGATTTTTAAATCCTGTTTCTACTGCTCTATATGTTAGTTCTAAAATGTTCATCAATCTGTCATTAAAAACTTGTTCTTATATTTTTAAGATCCAACAAAGTTTATTCCCCACTAACCCACTAACACCATCTTATACTAGACCTCATTTAGCGGTAGACAGAAATGATAAGAACCTTATTATTGATGCACACGGAAAACATACTGCAGTTTCAATTGATTGAATAAAACCTGCTTTACCTCCCAGAAGACATTACTCATATGCAGTCTTTACCTCTTTCAGTTTCAGCTCCCTCGCCATGATCTTTAATCAAACATCTACCACTAAAAGTGGGTATAAGGTCTGATTTCCCAAGCATTTAGTCACAGACTACATTCCTTGAGCACAAATTTATACTATATTTAACGTTTACTACTATGCATATGTTTCTACTGCATCTATGACCATGTACATATCTCTCTTACAAGCATTTTCTGTACTTCCCTACTTTAGCATTATATCATCATTTTCTTTTATGCCCACCAGTGGCTGAGCGGTAAAGTTGCTGAACACTGGTAGTTCGGTCCGAGGTTCGAATCCCGCGAACGGGCTGGCTGCATGAGTGTTTTCATGGTTTTCCCCATGTGTAACGTGTATACGAGCCAGCTTCCCTTAGAAAGTCCTCCATGAGGGCATCCCTCCCCTTAGGCAGATAGCCCTCGAGGCTTTGCTGTAATTAAATAACCTAACCTAATCATTTTCTTTTATATCATAAATATTAACTATAGTTTGTAATCGTGACTTTATCTCTGGGGGCATACTCTGTAGCATTTCATTTATGCGAGTGAGAGGTGCACTGTATCAGCCAATCAGCAAGCGGCACACATGCCGTGTTATGTTTTATGTCACAACTTCTCTCTTGCCTCAAATTTCCTTTTGGCAGGTGCTGCTGGGAGGAAAAAAGCTGCTACAGAATTCTCCTGGTACGAATTTCGTTTCTGTGTGTGAAATAAATATTTTTATACTTAATATTATTCCATGCTGCTTCATTCAAATACAGGAGTCAGATCAACTAATGTCACCTTTAATGCCATAGAAACTGTCTTTTCCGTTGATTTCAACATTTAACAACAGGATGCTATTTAACATGTTAAATAACTGTCAACTTACTAGAAAAAGTTTAATATTGGAAAAAGTTAAATATATTTGAGAAGCTTTATATGATTATATTTTATTTATATTTTTATTGTATTTAATTTGACAGATTCAAAGGTACATGAAATTGAACTGTAAAGAAGGATGGCTTAAAAATGAAAAGATAAAATATAATATGAATAGACAACTTACAATAACTTACATGCACAATAAAAAACAGTAATAAATTCACTGTTTAATATTATGAAAAAATAAATATATAAATTGTTTTAACAAGCTATATGTTATATTTTTTAAATCTTTATATTTTTACTATACTTGTATAGCTAAATTTTAAAATACAAAGTCTTTTGTATACAAACAGATTAAAAATAAATAAATAAACAAAAGATAAACTATCTCATTTCAGAAGCAAAATTTGCATACCAGGAACAGATGGTGGTGCTAGAAGTGTGTCATTAATAGCTAGCAGAAAAAGGAGAAGAGCATCCCAAGTTTCTCGCTCAATAATAACTGATTCTTGAGCTACAGCTTCAATTGTACGAAGAACCCTATGGCAAAGTACAGCTTGCCTATTGATAATATCAGCACCTAAAAAGATAATAAAATAGATTACTTTATAACATAAAGTTCAAAAATATACATCTAAGGTGCTAACTAAATTAATTGTTGTAAATCCAACTGTTGTAAATTTTGATATTATAAGTTGTGACGTTTACATTATTTTTACTAATAGTTATTTTAATTTAACTTTTCTGTCATTTCTTGTTTCTCTTACATTTCCTCGCCAGGATGTAAATGAGTTAGGATGAATAGGAGTGAAACTGAAATATTAGTCACAGGCTGTTTTGCTATTGAGAGTGCACATTGTTGTTTCTACCAGCTGTCTAAATTTCTGAGTCAACCTGCTACATTAAATTAATTTATGTAGTCTTGAACTACTAGTTTATCTTTAAATTTAGTTCAGTGTACCATTATCTTTAGTTTTATCTTTATGAAGGTGGATTTGGAAGCACAAAGACAGTGCTATTTGCATATAACCGAGTTCAATAAAAGGGTCTTTTACACCCTTCCCCTCTTGTATTCATCTTCTAGTCTTAGTGATAAGTCACAAACAGATTTTCAAGTAGGTACAGCAGCAGTGTACATTAGCCAAGAATAGTAATAACTACAAAGTAATACTCACAATTAAAAAAGTGCCAAATGATAGATCTAAAAGTATAAAAATACGATGAATAATAAAATGATAAAAGTTACAAAAATGGACTTTAATTTATTTTATAATAATTAAAGTAAATATTCATCAGTATTTTGCAAATAATAGAGATAATACTGATAAATAATATGACTGGCAGAATCACAGAATTAAGTCCTAAAAGAGTACCTTATGAACGAAAAAAAATTAATTTACAATATTTCTTACTTAATTAACACGCTAATGCTTTACATTTAATCTCATTAAATTACTGTAATTATTTCAATGCATTTTCAGTTACAAAAGTCCCCTATTTACGATACTCAAATTATGCAGCCTCTCTGATAAGCTGCTAAAATATACTCTAAATAATTTCTAAATTTTGCTTTTGTTACACATTAATTTCAAGTGAAATAGCTTAGTTAATTTTGAGAGAGAAGCAACATAAGTCTCCTTCTTTAAGGAACAATTATTCTAACTTGGCAAAAATTATTTCTAAAGAATAAAAATCATACTGCTTTTCTCTTTACTTTCTAACCTCCTTAAGGTAAATTAAAAAAAAAAAAAAAAAAATTCAACTGGTATGCATATTTCTCGCAGCCATCAAACTGTACTCATATAAATTATAAAATTTATGGTAAAGACACATCATCTCATTTTTCTTTTAATTTTTTGAAAAATATTATAATAATTCAGCTTGATGATCTAGAGCAAAACAGAAGGAAAGTGAAGAGAATGCTAGAGTTTTCTGCAACTTAAACATAATAATAATAGAATACTTTTTCCAAAATTAAATACAATAAAAAAAATAAATGCTTAAAGATCTTACTATTGTCATTTCTTGGAAGGAATAGATTGTACAGATGATGTAACATTTTCCTGGTGTACGTATTGGAATCATCAGTTATACATTTAGGTACACATATCTTGGGTTTTGTCAAAGCTAACATCCATTCACAATATACATTTACACAATCTCGAATGGCTTCGTGTTCTGATAATGGTAAGCCAAGTCCAAAACAGATAACCTATAATATATTCAAAGGGGGAATGCTTTTTTATAACAGAATATTATAAAAATGTCTCATTTTTACTAATTTTGTACAACTAAAAAATTATGCAATAAAAACTGTTTTAGTATTTGTATATTAAATGATACCCAGAATTCTAGTTGGTATAACTGGTACCAAATGACAATAACTTACTGATCAATATTTGTTTCTCTGCTACATTTACACCTTCAAATGTTCTTAACAATATGCTTTACAATGTTTTCTTAGTTTTGACCTATTTCATCCTTTTCACTTTCTTCATAGGCCCTTGAGATTTGTCAAATAATAAAATGGGAGCTTATACAGAATCATAAAACATTACTGCTGAAAATCAAAAATGCCCCATTTTCTATACAATGAAATCATATATCACTGCAGAAAACTTGCTGTGAAAGTAAAACATTGCAAAGTACACATACACAATTACAAAACTAAAAAACATATTTGATGAAAACTGATCCATAAATAAAAATCCATACAATTTATTGATTTTCGTTGCATAGAGTTAATGTTAGTCAAATGCTGCCAACGATCAAAACAACTGTTATCAGTCAATCACATAAGAATTTCACATGATGGATAAACTTGTCTCAGAAAGGAACAGTTACCTTATAAGGTATTTTATGTTAATTGACTAATTATTATGACATAAATCTTTACTATAACTTCCCCTCTCCAAAATCCTCACCAGAATGTAAATACATTGTTTTGTGTATTTAAGCTGAGGGTATTGAATTCTTAGATCTGAGCTTCTGGCAGCCATGTCTAGCTGTTACTCACCAGCTCTCTCAGTTGGATTCCAGCTTTAGTGTCTTACTAGCCAACATTTCAACATATGTGCCATTTAACTATCTGAGTAAGCTTAAGTAGTCTATTTTATGAGTAATCTCAGACCCTTTATCTACATTCGAAATTTAACTTTTGGTTATGTTAATTTAGATACCCACAAGTTACAGACATTCATCTGTCACACAAGTAGTGCCTTTCTTTTTATTTAAGAGATTATTTTATACAAAAGATTATTTTAACATTCTCACAACTTTGTCATTTGTCTCAGAATATACAAGGTCTGCAGGATTTTGATACAAGCTTCTAGATACAGTAAATTATACATTTGGGCCCCAATTAAATCACAAACCATGTTGCAAGACAAAGCCATTTTTAGCCTGCTTCTTCAAAACTCCAATTTCCTACAGCACCAGCAAGACCAGTGGAAGGATTTGGCTTTATTATGTGGGCAACAATAAAATCATCTAATAGTTTTGAAAGTAAAAGTTCAGTCCCAACTCTTTAGAAAGTTTAGAAATTCACTTTTTACTATATTCTGTTAGAGAACTGCAACTACTGTGGGTCGAGGTCAAGCCCTATAGTGGTACAAAGGTAATGGAAAATATTTACTAGGTGAACCATGGAGTAAGTTTTATATATTTAAAACTACACTTCTGAGAGCGTTCCCTGTGGTTAAAGATAGGATTACATTAGAATCTGAACTTTATGGTAAATACCAGACTAAGGCAGATGAGTTAATGGATTTTATTCTAAGAAAAGTACAGTGGTGATAAGCTATATGGGAAAAATCCAACACAGATGTTATTGAGTTACTATTACCCAGGCTGTTGCTGCATATCCAAGATTTTCTGGTACTAAGAAACCTGGTATGCTACAGCAGCTTTTCAAGTTAGCAATGAATTTGAAAGTCTACGCATTACAGTAAATAAAAATTTTATTAAAGATTTTTGGAAGCCTGTAGACAGAAGAAAAAGTAAATTTGACAGTACAAGATAAATTTCAACACAGAAAAGTGGTGGATAATAAGCAGAAGCCTTTAAATTAGATAAGAATACTATGGGGTAAGAGAGGTTATTCCCTCCGGATGAAAGAAAAAGCATCTCACATCCAAATAAAACAGCACTAATTAAAAATTTGTCACTCCTAGTTATTCAAATTGCTTTATATGGCATTCCTGCATATGCTTTATTGGACATAGGAATAAAAAAAAAATTTGGGAAGAAAAAAATTTTTACAAAAAACTTTAGAAAATATAGACTATCTGATTTGGTGAGAATTAAGGTGATAAAAGCACAGGGAAAACATTGTGAATGCACGCACAGGAAGCATGCTTTTTAATGTACAAGTTAAAAATAACCAGCAGAAACTGGTTTTTTCTTGTGAAAAAACTTATAGGCAAATATAATATTGGGGTTGGATTTCTTAAATTCTGCACAGGCACAAATTAATTTTCAGGAGGATACCATCCAGTTGGATATGAACAAGCTGACTGAGAAAAAGTAGAGCTGCAAGTTTTGTACCCCAAAGAACTGCATTTGGAAGAAAAAATAAAGGTGGAGCGACTGGTCAGAAAATTTTCACATTAGTTTGATGATACCACCGTCTGCTACAATAAGAGGCCAATCACAGGAAGCCATAATGTAGACATGCAAAAAAAAAAAAAAAAAAAAAAAAAAAAAAATATATATATATATATATATATATATATATATATCTCCATAAGCTCCTATACTATATATACTCCTATACTAAAACAGTATAATAAAATATCTAGTTTACTCCTTACCACTAACTGAGAAAAAAATATGCAAAATTAAATCTACAAAGACCATGCTAGATCTCATGTCTGGATATTTTCAAATATGTGTGAAGCTGGAGATATGCCAAAAACTGCATTTTTTACCAACTCAGATGTTTACACCTTCCTTACAATACCATTTATTCTATGTGGGGCTTTTGCTATATTTCAAAAGGCTATGGACATAATCTTAATAATAATCTTATAAGGCCCTACTCAATAAATCAACATTCATGTACATAATGGTCACAAGCAACCCAACTGATGACCACATTTAGGATTTGCACCAAGATTTTCACTTTTAAAGGATGCAGGTTTAAAAGTGAATGTGGCAAAATATAAGTTCACTGCCAAAGAAACATTGATACCTGAGTTATAAGATATCTCAGCAAGGATCAGAAACTGAATATTAAAAAATCATAGCTATCAAAAATTATCCATCACCTAACATGGCAAAACATAGTGGCTAGTGGCCTGCACTTGTTGCCTCCATTCTGCACAAGCCACTTCTACATCCATTCTGCAGCATATTCAAGTTGCCCTGGATGTTCTCATATCGACCAGAACTATTTGCTGTCAATTGGTGGCTACTGGCCTGCACTCGTGGCATTCATTAAGAAGGGTTGTCATTGACCCTACATTCATAGATGCCAACATCTCCAATAGTGCCATGCTCGAGCGATGTGGATGATGGAATGGCACAGGGTGGTATTCTCAGATGAGTCAGGCTTCTGTTTCTCTAATGATAGTCATCACGTACAAGTATGGCATCGATGTGGAGATAGGTCTGAACCGGCAGCAATTGTGAAAAGCCCCACTGCGTGGCAAAGCAGCATTATGGTTTGGGGCACAATTGCCTATCATTCCAGGTCACCTCTAATTCGTATTCAGGCGTGGCCTTCGAGAACAAGGCCTTACAGCTCAGTGACATAGAGCGCATGACGTCAGTACAGAGAGTTCACCTTTCTTTGGGTTTGAGGGCAGCGTTCGGTCAAAGGTTATTGTTAGAATGAAGTGCTTTTGCAAGGGACGTCCGGTATCCTATATTATCATTGCACTTTCCTGATAAAATATAGGCTCTACCACGCGCGCTTCGGTAACGAGATGTGGGAACCTAGGCTAACTACCTTGCATATTTTAAAATTTAAAACATAATTCTGCAGTGTGTTCCTTTCAAAATGTTGTCTATTAAATTTTCAGAGAATTATTATTTTTTCCCCTTCACAATTGCTTAAGGATACACATAAGTGATCCAAAAAATCAAAACTCACACATAGTTACAGGCACAACTTTTGATCTAGAGAGCTACGAAATTAACTATTATGATCATAAACTCTAACGTGGACATATCAAGATTTCGGTAAAGAATAATATAGAATAGTAAGAATTCATATCGCAATTAAAAAAGTGTTTGATAAAGACAGTCAGCAAAATTAAAGTAAAATGATTTTCTGTGACAGATTAAAAATAGATCTTTGGTTTTTATTCTGTAAGAATCTGGATCACTGCAAGTTTCATAATTATTTTAATAATAACAATAACACCATTGGACAGTTTAAAACAATGTTGACATTAAAAATTATCATTAAAAATAAATTTTAATGTATTTATATCGATAAATAAATGATGAAATATTCCTTTTTAATATTTAGTTTATTATAAAAGATCTACATTAAAATTTGTTTAAAAAATAAATGTAATAACCAAAAATGCTAGTTCTTTCATTTTATCGCCATACTGAAGAAAATTAAATATTATTTTAAAAAGTCTGTAAGAAAAAGTTGTTTCTGGCAAAATGCTCTTTTTATTCATATTTTTCATGTTTACATATGAACGAAAAATAATGTGCAAGTTTCGTTTGCAGTTCGAAAGCTTAACATTTTCACGTTATGAAGTGTTGGAAAGTTTATCCAATCTATAGAAAATAAAATGAGACTAATATAAATAATTATTGAGGATCCAAGTGAAAATTTTTATCAAGTAATAAGAAAAATAAGTTCAGATATCTGAAGTCTAAAAGCATGATATATAATTAAATGTTAAGATAGTATCATTTATTTAATAATCTCCTATTTACATCAGAATAACATAAAATTAGCTTCTCTGATAAATTAGCATGATGTAGGTTCACTCGCTTTGAATGCAGGAGAGAGATTTCCTTGCACTCCTCATCGTGACATCACGAGAGAACTGGACGGCCTTGTTTCTCGAAGGTTACGATTCAGGGCACTATGACTGCCCAATGATACTGGATGATGTGCTGCTGTTGGTGACACTTCCCTACCTTCAAGGAGTGCTCAATGTCTTTTATCAGCGCCCACCACACATTGCTTGCATCATCCAACATGCTCTTCAAGGTGTTACCATTCTCTCCTGATCTCTCACCAGT